GGATTAAGTGGTAGCACTTGGAGGAGCCCTGCAGCTGTCTCTTATACACATCTAGATGTGTATAAGAGACCCAACCATGGTCGTCAAGGATGGGGCGGCCTGGGGTGGGGCCGCCGGTAGGGGTCCGGCTAACGCAAAGACCAGCTTTTCTTTTTGTACGAACTGAGCTACGCCCATTGGTCCGAATAACATTTTGGGAAGTTGTTCACCTTTTTTTTTTTTTTTTTTTTTTGGGAAGTTGTCCGCCTTCTGCCTATAACTATCTATTTTTTTTTAGTTAAAATAAAAAAAACCCTCACCCACCGCTCAGCTACGTGGGCGATGATCGCAATATCAGAAGCGAAGAATCCGGGAAAGCGGCACCTTGCCCTGCGACGAGATTTACAGCTCGGACATTGGGCCTCGCTGAGGCTCGCTCCACTACTCTGCGCGTGCACAAATGACAAAAAACATGGCCGTGTATGTTTCCACGTTCTAGCCTAAGATTCACTCTCATTTTGCATATTTGGAGTAGTGGAGCGAGGCCCCATGAAACTCATCCCAAAAGAACGCACGTTCACGACATCATGGCACCCCTGAGGCCTCAGGGGTCTCCTCACTGTTTTCTTCGCGTGAACTCCTCTTTCGCTTCTGCTCCAACATTCTTTTACCTTGTTTTTTTTTTTTTTTACAACAAAAAGGAGTATATCATGTCATCACAGGGGCAAGATACAGTTTGCAATTGCCATTGGGGCAACCTACCTGGCCAGAAAGCTGGGTTGTATACATTGCTCAAACTGCAATTCGAAACAGTATCTTGGCCCATAGTGCAACTCCCTCGTAGTTTCCCCATATATGTATATATATATATACTTGACTTCGCTAATCTGTCTACGCGAGCTGTGCCGGATCGTAGATTGACTCCCAGCTAATGGCGGGAGTTCCCGCGCGAGTACGTGGTTGGCGGGAGTTCCCACGGGAGAACACCGTTACGGCTCCAGGGTGGCGAGTCTGGCGACCAACGAGAGGCGTGTTACCGCGAAGTTTCGTCGTGCTTCGCGGGTAGGCTAACGAAAGGAGAACCGTCAATTTTCTGCTCCTCTTACAGGACCAGCTAAGAGGTGGTAGGAAAGGAGTGTGTGTGTGTGTGTGTGTGTGTGTGTGTGTGAGAGAGAGAGAGAGAGAGAGAGAGAGAGAGAGAGAGAGAGAGAGCATAAGCACATGTATAAATGGATGGATCCTACGATACAAGTCTGGATTGATGTGCTTTCGATGAATGGATGTAAGGCATAAGGGGATGCCGTGAGAGAGGGTAGCAGGAGGCAACCACAGAGAAAGGTGTAGACAATCAGGCGGGGAGAGAGAGAGAGAGAGAGAGAGAGAGAGAGAGAGAGAGAGAGAGAGAGAGAGGGTGCGGGACGCTGCCCTTGGCGGTAACAAGGGAGAAAGGGAGAGGGCGCGTGACTCTGCCTTTGGCGCTTACACACACACGCACACACACACGCACACACACACACACGCACACACACACGCACAAATAGAGAGCGAGAGTGAGAGAGAGAGCGGGCGCGGGACGCTGCCCTTGGCGTTAGCAAAGAGAGAAAGGGAGAGGCCGCTTGACTTTGCCGTTGGCGCTTACACACACACACACACACAAACACAGAGAGAGAGACACACACACACACACACACACACAAACACAGAGAGAGAGACACACACACACACACACACACACACACACACACACACACACACACA